CATGATTCGCTACAAAGGCATTTAACATGGTTCCGATTCATCAGCTCTGTATCTCAACAACTCCGGAATTAAAGTTACTCGCACACAAAGGCATTATCTCGTATGTAAGGAAGAGCGCCGCTGACTCAAGATATACTATTTTATGGTGACAGTGCTGCCAAATTTTTTCGCTTCACTTCTACATTTTTCGGAAGATACATGGAAAAAGGGCGTATATTACGAAAGTCGACAACGCTGGTAAATGATAAAATTGATTAATGTTACTTTTGGAGGTATTATTTGTTTCCTACGCATAAAGGACCTTTTCATACAATTCTGTGTTGTTGCCTTGCTATTCTTTTTTACTTTCAACGGTCTTTTCATCAATCAGTCTACATCGACAGTTAGAAAAAAATAATTAAAATGTAGGATCTTAATTGATAGTATTTCGGATTTCTCGCTAAAAATAGTAAAAAAACAAAAGAACTTACACTCCACAGTTTATGGGAAATTAAAGGCGATCGTGAGTTTTTTCTATGCGTGAGTAGTGTCGCAAGAGATTCGCAGTTGGGTTCAACTTCCCATTAAATGTGGAAACAGTGGACCCAACTATTCTCTTTTTTTACTATTTTTATATAGTTTGCATAGTGCTTTAATATCTCATTCACCTATCGCCCCTCTTCCTCATTCGAACTAATTAAAATGATGGCTGAGGAACAGGGTGAAATTTATTGAATTAACTGCTAGTGTTATTACCATAAACTTAATCAGTCGACGTATTTTTCACGGAGGCGGATCCAGCAATTTGGCAACACCGCACTCCCACCATTTAAACCTATGATAAATAATCGATTTCTGTCGGAGCACCTGGCCCCTCCAAGAATCGATAAATTTCCATAGGTTTAAATGAAGAAAAACAATGTTACCAATTCGCTGGATCCGCCAATGATTTTTCATGATTGTAGTCTACCGTCGCGTCATCAGGGTTCAATCGAGCTGTGTTCGTCCTCTTTATGATAATACATGGATTTGGGTCAATCATATCATGCGTCCTAGCGGAGAGGGGATATCAGGTCATCGACATCGGGGAAAAATGGTACAAACCCACATGGGGAGAAGACTGAATGAGCGTCGATCGTGAATATTCTAGCCGCATCAAACTCTGATTCTCGTCCGGTGAAGTTGCGATCACACAGACAGCGCGCGACGCAAAATTGGCCGCGCCAAGTCAACCACCCACTTGACGGGGCACCAGGGATGGAAAGTGAATTTTCAAGTCATTTGAAATTGTTAATTTTCTCCGAAATTATAAATTAAACCTCTCCAAGTCAGGAAGCATTTCAGATGGTCTTCCTGTTGATGCGGCTGAATATACTACCCTTCCTAGGTGCTATACACGGAGAGGACAAAAGGGAGTTTATAGCAGTATTCAGCCCCAATTTAACCTCTTAAAAATGATTTTATTAGAATTTTTCCACTCTCGGACTTTGAACTCCAGCCCACACTGGAGAAAAAAGTAGCTTGGATTTAGAGTCCAGACTCTTAAAAACATTGACAAGAAAAACTACTCTCGATTCAATCGGATTTTTGCTTGCATCTAGAACCAAGCCTCTTAATTTAAGCGGATTTCCTTTTGATTCAAGCAAAAATCCGATTGAATCAAGAGTAATTTTTCTTGTCTTTGTTTTCAAGAGTCTGGACTCTAGATCCAAGCGACTTTTTTTTCCTGTGCATTGACCGTCATAATCCCCTTCTTCACCCCGTCCATCGAGCGTCTTAAAAATGATTGTTTTAGAATAGAGAAGATATCGTAACGCCATCCCTTCCCTTATACAGTTTACAGAGGAGATAATGTGTCCTAATTTTCTACGGAAATCCTCAATGAATCTTAACTTTGATACTCATTATATCTCTACTACACGTTATGAATCGATTACTTATATTAGTTCGTAGTCATAACAGCTTTTCGAAGATACACTGAATAAGAGTGCAACGAACCACCGGCGAATCTCGTCTCTAGCAGTGGCGTGGAGTGAATTGCGATGTATCGAGTGTTATGCCATTTTTATCTGTGGTAAAGAATCGATTATTAAGGTGTTCGCTGCGAACACCCTGTTCATCGATCCTCTCCCATAGGTTTCAATGACAGATCAATCGATATATCGCAAAGCACGCAACGCCACTGGTCTCTAGATTACTTAGACTCCCTTCAAATTGACCGCACCGGTCGCACAACAAACTTCGCGTCGCTTGCTATGTGTAGAGCCGTCCCTTGAGTGCGGCCCAAACGAAATCCGAGTGGCAATTTTGTAACTTGGTGATAGAGATAAGTGCTTTTACGGCCCAAGCATCGATATCAAAAGGGATCGGCGTTACGACCGTAGCTTCGGAGGCTTTCTTAGCCGCGCGACAGCGACGCGACGCGCGGGTGGCATGGCGCAAAGTGGAGCGAGCGGATAGAAAAGATCGGACATGACATTTTTGGCTGAAATTTCAAATTTTGATGTTTATTTCGTCGCAAATTCAATTTCACGGAATTTTTCTGAGGGGAAATTTCACGAAAAAACCAATAGACTTGAACTTTTTTGTTCCATATTTTCGAAAATCTATGCTTTCAAAGTTCCCAAATTTTGTCCCGCTTCTACCGACTCGGTCCAGTGTGTGGCGTTTGGTTCCATGTAATGTGACCATCGAGTTTCTCGTAAAATTTTAGATAGGCGGGAGAACGTGTCTGGATTGCGAATGGGATTCGTTCACGAGGGTGAAACGGAAGCATTTATGCTAAAAAGAACTATGTGCGTGGGGTTTGCGTGAAACAGAGTTCCTTTTAGCATAAATACGTCTAATACGCCTCGCAGATGTTGAGATTTGAGCGGTCATCGGAATAGACCGTATTCGATAACGGTTCGGTGTATCGTTTGGTTCAAAACAATAGAACATAACCTCAAACCAAACAGTAGGGATTTAAGTTGGAAAAGCTGAAAATGAGAAATTTCCTGACAATTTCACTTTGAATTGGCATTTGGTAGGTACTCAAAAGAATGAAAAATCTGTTACAAAAGACCCGTTCTCTTACATTTCTGAATTTACTTTTGAGGCTATGTTTATGTTTTGAACCAATCGATATCGATACAATCTCAGCCGTTTGATGTATCGAATACGATCTATGGAACGTAAGAGGGAGCTGGTTGTTGGACCCACTCCTTATGTGCTTTCGGTGGGTTATTGACGTAGATTTATTAGATTTATATAGACACATAGATTTATTATGAATTTTAGGTTGATTAATTTTATTAAAAATCAAAATAATTCAAATTGATAAATTAAAAGGTCAAAATGACGGTTCGTCTCCTCACATAAAATATCTGATCTTACTTACCTCTTATTTTTGTAAATTTAAGTCGAATAATAATACAATTGGACATATTTCTAACTACTGAATTTATCGATTTTTATCATTATAATAAAATAAAAATCAGAGTTTGTATATTTATCTCTTTATTTTTATTTATGTTGTTTATTAATATTTTAGGTTTGGTTCCTTATATTTTCTCTTGTTCTTCACATTTTGTGTTTTCTGTTAGCTTTGGCTTTCCCTTTTGGTTGGCCTTTTTAGTTTTGGGTTGATTTAATTTCTATCAAACGGAGCTAAGCGCCATAGGACGAGGAAGGTAGAGGGGGGCTTGGATTGGTGGCGGAATCGGGCGTCCGGCTTATTCCGTCCTATACTCGCAATGCTTTTCCATGACGCCTAGGTCCGTTTGACAGGACGCGCTATCCGGCATTCTGAATTCCTCAAAAGGAACTCAAATTGGCGCTTAGTTCCATTTGATAGAAATACGTCCAATTAATGAATAGTTAAAAACTGACTTGTTTAACAGAGCTGCGGTGCTGATTGTTGAAAGTGATAGACGAAGCGGGCGACGTCGGCTCAATATTACCACAACATTAAATCAAATGACTCAAGGATTGTGCGCAAAAGATGAACTAATATTACAAAGATATTTTCGTGTGAACGTGGATGGATCGCAACTTTTCGGTCACAATTGCTGCCCAGTGGCGAGGCGTGAATGACCGATTATCGATACTTCATCATTTTAAGCTATGGTGAGGAGTCGATCATTAAGGTGTTCGTTGCAAACACCTTGTTTATCAATTCTTTTTCACGGGTTTAAATGGGAGATCAATCGATATATCGTAAAGCACGCCGCGCCACTGATGCTGCCTGGAATGAAGAATAGGTCAGTTTGAGTTGGGAGTGGGATCCCGGATAAGTGGCTCGGAGTGAGTGGGAGTGCGGGGGGAAAAAAAACTTGGCCTCTTTTTTAGCGATGAAATTGATAGGCCGGAGACTGTTATCGCTCCCGCAGGAGCGGCGCAGATAAATAATGGAAGGACCGAGTCGCAACGCAAGTATCCTCAAATTGAGTCGAAATGTTTCGACTGCGCTTGCAGGCTCGATTTTTTATTCATGCTCTTTCGCCCTCCCTCCGAATCCTATCGCCTCCGCTCAGGATCACGGCCGTTCTCAATCAGAGCTCGGCTTTTCGCTTCCTCTGAATTGTTCCGCGATTTTGTGGGCAGTGGAGAAGTTAATGAATATTTCAGCTCAGCACACCGCTAGTAAACAAGCCTCGCTTCGCGGAAATGCTGGTTTCGCTGTAAATATTTTACCGAAAACTAAACGGTCGCTCCTATTAACAAATTTTTATATAAGAATAATTCAAGCGAACCGTTGCACCCAGTGTTTGAAACTCACCGGCGCCAACGCGCCAAATGCACCTAAAAAATAGGTCATGGCGCCTAAAAAATGAAGACTCTGCATGCGCCAACGTGGCCCCTAAAAAGTGCCTCCCTTAAAAAAAAATCGCATCAGGAATATGTCATGGACAGTTATTTAAGTCCATGATAAAAACGCATGTGTACATGTTATACGCAAACTCATGCCATATGCAGGATTTTACACTACATTCTATGGATTTTTTATGTTTTTTTAATTTGTCACCATTACTTTGTTGCAGGTAGATGATCGCTCTTATACGCAACTTCGGGAAAAACTCTGTAAAATCTCCGCAAACGATGGAGTAACCAAAATTTCGTCAGGTACGGAAACTTTTCTGCATTATTGAACGTATTTATTAACATTTTTTATTTTCTCCAAAGAACTTACGATTATATGCAATTTGAAAAAAAGAATTTCAAGAAAGTTTCTGGTATTTTAGTCACATGGAAAAAATAAGCAAACACATAATTTCAGAACTTTAATTATTCGGCTTGGTTTGGTATAAGAAAGGATTTGTAAAAATAGAGTTTCACGCTTACACCAGATTTTGCATTCCCTTGAATTCGATAGTAATTTATTTTACCTTCAAACTTGAATCTCGAATAGATTTAATTAAGTAGAACAAAAGTAGCCATAGCACTATCCAGAAAAAACGTATGTTTGTTTTTTCTCTAAAAGATTCTGTCCAATTTCAGAAAACAAAGAAATCTCCGTGAGATCTTGAGTGCCACGTCTTGGTTAACTCATATATTCAATATAGGTTGTTCAAATTTGGCTGGAAAGACATGCGATGGGAGTCGCAGTCATGAAGAATTCATTTGAAAGTCTAAGTCACAGGAAACATAATTATTGTTTCCTGTCGTCTCTTAACTCGTCCCTTCTCTTTATAGCACAGTTGCAACATTGTCTTGAAATCATAAGTCAGACTTGAATTCTAGTGAATACGTTTTGTTTTGTTGGTTTACACTTTCATAACTTTTAACCGCCCCAGACTTACTGTGCTTGAGTCTTTGTTTTATTATTTTGGAGGAATAAAGTATATTTCATAAAATTTCCGATGGAAAAATCTTTTTAAATAATATCATGGCTTCAAAAGCTGTGATAAGTTGAATCAACAAGCACATCCATACAAATGTTTTATGTGGTTTGTTTCCAATAGATGGAACAAAAAACCCTCTTTATAAGTTGAAAGTATGAAGTCATTCATAGAGAACCGCGTGGGTGTGCGTTCTGTATGCGTGTAAAGTTATTTTCTTAATCGTACGTCAGCAGTGCGGTTTTTGTAAAGTTCAGAAGACAGCATTTCTTTCCTCTAATTATTACATCGGTAGTCTCAAGTTGAAAATTTCATTTTCTTTTCAAGGAACAATATCCATTTGGACGATCACTTGACAGATATGTGAGATTTTCTGTCTTACAAATCGGGGTCATCCTTTATTTGATTATCGCTAACAATAATACTCGCCTCTCAAACTATATGGAATAGCTCTAAAGATATGATTTTAGTTGCAATACGACTACGGGAGTAGGACGGTTGTAGGAAAGTAGCGGGGCACAATCACGGTTATCCAGCGCCCTAGGTTAATGATTTCTTTGCGCCTTCCCTCCCCTTCCCATTTCCTTCGCCAATACTCCCTCCTCTGTCTCCCCTTCAGAACTCTGCAACCTAAATAAACTTGAGTGTACCGATAATTCGATCGAAGAGCCTTTCAGAAAAAGGCTTGTGGAGGGTGCAGAGACCTAAGACCCGGTGTTGATGTGCCGGTGTGCCTTCTCAATGCTTAAAACGTGCCCTTTCTTATCGATCGAAAGAATTAAGGTTCTTAAGGTCCAATTCATAATTGTTATTTTAACATTTCCTCTTCTTTAAGAGGTTCCAAATGTATCGAATTGTGATTACAGAAGGTTAAAGGTGGCCTCTAAAAAAACATAAAATTAAAAAGTATTTATTTCTTTGGAGAGCCTTGCAGGGGATTATAATGACTTCCCACCGCAAAAAATAAATACTCTAAAAGAAAAAGTTTCATAATTTTGAAATACTTTAAAGTGGGTACGGACCTGCCGCCAAATTTCCATAACCCGCGCAATATTTTTCTGTTTGTATTTAACGCGTTCAGTTGTTGCAAATCATTGTAATGCTTTGCAAGGATCTATTTCCAAAGTTACGCTGATGAATTTCAATAGAGGTTTCTGAAATTTGTCATCTCCATGATACTGTGTCAAGGGCCTCCTTGAATCCACATACATATGCACATAAAAGTCCTTTTCATTGCGCTCCTTGGCGCTCTGCGATACCCAGCCGCCAAAGTCCCTATCCCCTGAACCAATGAGCGAGTTCGCACTCCCTCATTCCCTCTAAAACCACGTGTCGCCATCTTCTCACTGGGCGTCTCCTTCGTCTCCTCCCCGAAGGAAGCAGTGGCGTGGCGTGAATTGCGATATATCGATTGTTATGGCATTTAAACCCATGAAAAAAGATCGATTATCAGGGTGTTTGCAGCGAACACCTTAGTAATCGATTCTTTACCATAGTTTCAAATGGCGAGATATCGATAATCGATTATTCACGCCACGCCACTGGAAGGAACCCGAAGCAAGCATCTTCTTCAGCAGGCATTCTTCGGTAATCCTGTTAACATGACCACACCAGAGAAGCTGTTTGACCTCCCTTAATCAAAATGCAAATTGCATGGAAAATGGAGCATCCTTAAGGAAACGCACCTTTAACACATAGTGACTAAAAATACTACTATGAATGAAGTTTCTCTCCTTTGTTTTCCTTGCGGTTTCAAGTAAGGTACGTTTCCTAATTTCCTCTTATTTTCGGAAAAATCAAGGGTGCAGCTACCTCTAAAATCTCGCAGTTTGTTTAGCCCCGGGTGGCAAAGAGCGTTTCCCGAGTGTTCTCTCGTAATTGCCCTTATCTTTCTCTCCGCTTGAATAACTCGTTGTAAAAAGTTAGGATTGAGTACGAAAGCGGTCCATTATCATGCACTTTTTATTAGTCTTCAAAAGGTGCAATTCGAGTTGGTAGCGCGTTTGTTGAATCTCAGCGTATTGCGCGACAGAGAGAAAAATTGCCATGCAGCATTGCACCCGCCGCCGGCCCTCTCGGTGAGCCGTCTCGAGTCAAGTCCATCGAAAGTTTCGCTCTCCTCTTTCTTCCTCCTCCAGGTAAGTTGAGCTCACTTCACGACACATTGTGACAGGTCAAGGCATAGCCACCCGTGTAATTATAAACTTTTATCAGAGAGGAAGTTTGTTGTCTTGTTACTGCTCAGTTGTTGCAGACGACGCGCCGGCAGGACCTCCTTGCCAGTTGCCACCGTGGAAGCTGGATGTCGAAATTGCTTAAAAAATATTTGTTCGGGAACTCTGTAAAGGAGTGGAAATTTGGACCTCTGATGACATGAAAGAGCCTCCCAAGATCCTCCCCCTTCAAAAACAGCGTTTATGCGCCTTGCTCTTTAGGTTTCAGGACATTTTTTCAACGATTTTTTGTCCGCGCACCTTTTTTGTCCAGTAGTTTACGCCCAACGAAATTATATTGAAGATATGGACATGAGGAATTGAGAGAGAAGGAGGTGTTGTTATGGTTGCTCATTTTCTAAATGAAAAGTTATTACTTTCTCAATTTGAACCATCTTTTTAAATTGTCAATGGTGAATAATTGGTTTTATTTCTGTCCTTAATATATTCGATGCACAATATACCTTAATATGTATAGGTACTTTCTTTTGTTTTTTTAATTTTTTCTTTACGAAATTATTACTTCATTTTGAAAACATTTATATTTTTAAAACGTGACAAATATTTGTAAAATCTTTTCCAAGCGACATTAATCTCAATGAGCCGCAGTTGTGCCGACAGGAACTGCAAAAATGAATAAAAGAGGGGAAAAAAGCAAGATGCACGCAATATGTAGTTTTAACCCATTTGTACATCAATCTTTTAAAGTCAAATACGTCAAATTTTGAGCGTTTGATTGCGCGTACACCTCGCTGCAGCACAATAAAAGCACGAAATGTAAAAAAAAAAAAAATTAAGGTGCTTTGAAAATCATTTTTGACACGGAACCACCAATATTTAAAAAACACACATTATATTATTATTCTCCTCTGTTAAATTGATGCATATTTTTTCCCCATCAATTTAAGTGAGAAAAATCAGTGCAGTGTGCAAACATTTGAAAATCATGAGTTAAAAATGCTGACCATGGGAGTATAAATATTAAAGCCCAACAGAGCGGAGCGGCGTGCGCGTGCTGCTAGCGCAAGAGGCTCACTGGCGCCTACAAACCTAAGTGGATACTTCACGCATTGCACAATGCTTGAAGTATCCACTTAGGTTTGTAGGCGCCAATGCGCGTTTCGCGCTGGCCGCCCGCCCGCCGTGCGGCGGCGCCTGAAGCAACTATTTCACAACAGAGGTGTTGCACAGTATCATACGAAATTGAACGTATTAAGAATGACAGACATCCTTTAAAAGTACAGATCTTTCCTCGCAAAATAAATTTTGATACTTCTCGTACACAGGAAATATCTGAGAGCCTTTAGCTCAGGCAAATATAGAAGTTCATCCGGTTCGGGTATAATAAGGTGGGGATTTCTTGAGAGATAGTTAAGTTCTGTTACACCAAAGAGGTGTAGAGAGTTTTAGTGAATTTTGTCTCATGGCATTGACGCTCCCCCATTTTTACCAAAACTCTCAACTAAATATTATTCTCCGTTGGACCAAACAGACAAAGCAAAAAAACAAGCAAAACCTCATTCTTCCAAGACATTATAAATTTTCATCCAAAAACGTCGTGAGCAATTGTCGTTTGTATTTACATGTGGGCCACTTCTTTGGGTCTCAACTGGCACGTGGACCAAAACTCCCGTGCCGAAAAAACGCGTGGACGTAAATTACTGGTAAAAACAGGTGCGTGGACAAAAAATCGTTGACGAAATGTCCTATAATCGTCCTCAAAGCCCCTCATATGTGCTGAGGAGAGACTTCAGCAAAGAAAATGTCACAAATTTAAACGATAAAATTGTCAAAAACATGTGCACACTGCACATCCGAGACAGAACGGCTTACAAATGCATTTTGAAGTGAGCACTATGCACCTGAATTTCACCGAACTGCGATTTTGGCCTTATAAAATTTCTCAATTTAGACTGACCGATCAAATTTTGAAGTTAAAAATAAATTATCAAAGTAAATTTTTTTCGGATCGCACGTAGCTCGCCGTCAAAGATCTTGGTGTTGATGACGCGTTATTTTAAAAGTCTATGATGTTTCGCTTCTCATCATAAATGGACGTATTTTTGCCAAA